CCTTATTCTAACCTGCCCACACACCTGCCGGATCACAAACTAGTATTTCTATGAAGAGTCCATCTATTGATGGAATGTACAGTATAATAGAAGGTCTCTCTATATGAGTAAATGGGTTTCTTGCTGTGCTTGTGAAGAAGAGGCAGGGGTATTGGCCAAGAGATTTTGCTTAGCTGGTTATACAGCTGCCTGTGGGCAGCACGGAGTGTATATGGCGGAAGTATAGTGACAGATAATTTAAACTGTCAGGGCAACCCCCACCCCACCCCAAACAATTGCAGTACATCTGTACAATTTATGCACATTTTCTCATGTTTTATCCCTTTAAATACCCTTCAAATGCAGACAATACCTGTTGATCTGCCAGAATGCAGTCATCCCCTAAGTCCTGTTGTGGGCTGACAACACACAGTATTTTGTGAACTGAGTTGTGTCAGCCTTGTCTAGTTGCCTTCTGCTAAATTACTCAAACCTTCTCACTGTCCAGTCTCCACAACATATATACTAATCATTCTGTAGTCCCAAGAGGTGAACTATTAGGACTAATTATACTCTGTAAGAAGTGTGAACAGCCTTACCCTTGTCTGAAATGTACAGTAAAGATGTGTCAGGAAAGGGTGTTCCCATGCCAGAGAAAGAACCCTTTTTTCCACCATGGTGCATTCAATATCATCATCCATGAGCACAACATCTTTCTTTAGGACTTTTATAGCAAAAAAGTGATCTGTTCCCTTCAGCTCTGCAAGAAAAACCTTAAAACAAAACATGCAATTTTCTTATGTGAAAACAGACCATTTCAGTCATTATTACAAGTCATTATTACAACTGTTCAACTGTTGGAAGCATTTTCATTATACTGTACAGTAATATGTTCTTTTCACCCAATCACATACCCGATATCATTTTTCTAGTGCCACTAGAAACTACAATGCAGGCAGTGGTCTCAGAATGCAGTACACACACACACACACACATATATATATATATATATATATATACAGTGTATATACACTGTATATTACAGTATATATACATATATACACACACATATACACTGAGTGGCCAGATTATTATGACCACCCCATCAGTACTTCGTTGAGCCACGAGATGACTCCACGAGATGACTTCGTTGGGCCGCCTTGAGATGTTGATAGGTGATGCGAGGAATCTGACACTGCACTGTTGCCCTTCTGTTGTCTTGTACCAGTCTTGCCACTCTCCGTTCTGCCCTAACATTGACTAGTCGCTGACGGCCACAATTCGCACGTTCAG